AACACACTCTCTCTCACACACACACACACACACACATCAAGGACGACGAGTGACACATGAGGTCCTGCTGCTGACCAACTGCAAATCTGGAAAGCTCGGTGAAAAGTTGAAGCGGACTTTGCATTAGCCGCGCATTTAAAATGCACAGGAAAAGGATCGGGCAGCAAGGCTGGGCGACACAATTTACCTGTGCCGACACCCTTTCACCCACCGCCCAACTACCGCCCAACCACCGCACCACCACCCAAAAAGTCCAACCATCCTACCCACTTGTCGTGGCCTGTCACAAAACTGTCACTCAAACGTAATTAACACCGGAGATGGAGGACTAAAGTGGCTCAATGTCGAGCGGAGTGGGGGTATGGGTAACTTTTAACATTTTTCAGCCGAAAGTTGATTTTTCAGCGGCCAAATGGGAAATTGGGTAAAATGTGCCTGGACATAAATAACATCTAAGGGCAATTAGAATTTAAAATGGAAAATGGAAAATCCAGATTCCCTCTTACAATTACGAAAATTGTTGTCGCACAGAAAACTTTATCTTGTTCTGTCATTAAATATGTAGAAAGCGAAAAATTAACTTAAATTGCAATTTGATCTTAGGATGGCCGTTGATAAATTCGTTTTGTGGGTTTTTTCCCGACTCTTGACTTGCGACAAAGTTTCGTTTGAGGGAGGTCAAAGGTTAAAGCTTTCTGTTGCCCCTTATTAGGTTAATTGGAGGTATTTGTAATTGAACACCGCTGTAATGGGACAATGATGTTCGAAAAGGGGTATCGGACAACGAAGTGATTAGCTTTGAGGAATTGACACTCGAGCTCGATTAAGCAAATGGCGTAGCGAAAATAATACAAAATAAATCACTTTAATTAAAGTATTAATTATTAAGCGGTTGAGGTAACTCCAAAATATAACTGTGTTCGAGTAACTTACATTTATTTTTTTAATTCATAGGAACATTTTATGTATCAATATTTCTGATATAAAAGATTTAAGCTTAATATATTAATCGCATCAGCAAATGTATTCAACTTTTCATCGACACAGAATCATTTTACATGAAAACCAACTTAAAAGAATTAAAAATTCAGTTTTTTAAGTTCCATAGAAATGCAATCATTACCGACCTGAATGTACCACATAGCATTGCCCAACCTCAAACCAAAGACTCAAACGACAAACCTGGCGACGTCAATTAGCAAATCGAGCGTTAACTGTTAAAAGCCGAGGAACCCGAATCGACAGCTCCATCGATAGCCATCTCTTTCTACATGTGCCGCTCATGTACTGGCTCTTGTTGTTTTTGTTTTTTCTTATTTTTGTTGTGCAAAAGCGGTAACAGCGACGCATGCGCCGGCAGAGAGCGCTGCGATTGGCCAACTCAGTCAGCCACCAATCGGAGTTAAGCTAAAAAGAAAATTGAAAAAAAGCATAGCGAAAAAAGAAGAACAAAAGTTGGAGTGGGGCTAAAATAGTGAAAAGTGATTTCTTAATTGCCTTAATAGTTTTACGGCACCTGACAAAGGATTTGGGCTAAAAGAATGGAGAGGACAGGTGCAAAGTGCGGAGCTTAAGAGTAGATACACCTCAAAAAAGGACTTATAGTATCAACTCTTATTTTCAGGACAAGGCATCAATGAAAGCCCAAATTCCATTTACATTGAGATGTTAAATCACTTAAATAGCTTAAATGTTTAATAAACTAAGGAGGCTTGAATTTTAGCTTTTGCTTAAGGCATTATTTTAGGAATTAGGAATTACCAAGATGTATTTACAAAGCTGTACAGCATAAAGAAACAATTTTTTAGGATTTCTGTTACTTAGCAATATTTAGACATCTTAAAGCCTTAGAACTTATTTATGAAAAAGATATAGAGACGTAGATGGAAGGTATATTTTTCCCTAAGTGAACTGCTGCTGTTGACAGTTCGCACAATTTCAGCTTTTATTTGCTGCACTTTGCTGACGTTTTTCCAGCTACGCTGTCACAGCCGCCGCCGTATGCATAATTAATTTGGCTTTCAGTGAGTGCATTGTGTGTAGTCCTCGTTCTGGCCACCGGATGCGGTGTCCTGCTATACATTTTCCGGCATCACAATCGCTTTTCGCAACAATTCGCTTGCCAAATTGACGGGTACGCGCTAATGGCTTTAACGTGTTTTGGCCGCTTGGCTTTCGTTTTTATCGTCTCTTTTCTGGCGTCAATTTAACTTTGTACTTTTTCTATTGCCTGTGTACTGTTTATTTGCGGTCATGTTCATATGTTGATATGAGCAACGACAGCCAATTGACACTTAACCATTTTAGGGTTTGCCTAGATTTTTATGGAAATGTATACAAATTACTGCGTTTATGCCAGTCAAAGGTTTGTAGAATTGTAACTCGTAAAGTAAAAGGCTATTCTGATTCGTTAAAAAGTATGTATCAGGTAGAGGAAGCAAGGATTCCGTCTGTCCGCCTGTTTGTCCGTAAGAACGTCGAGATCTCGGGAACCTAAAACCCTACCCGCAAAACCCATTATTATTCTAATAATCATAATGCATATCATAAGCCATATCTTAAGCCAAACTTCCAAATACCGACTATATTACTTTACCGTAGATAAAGTTCTATATTTACATTTTATTAACATTTAACTAACATTTAATTACCCTTTGTGTATGTACTCAATGCTCCTAGCAAGTAATTAACCCAAAAAAGCTATTCCTTCATCAAAGTCAAACCTCGCTTAAAAAAATAGAAAACAAAAACCACAAAAAAAGGGGGAAAACGGACAGAAAGTGGTGAAATATCACATCATCACCTGGCGTTTTGGCCAAATTAAATTTTTATGTGCACATAAATAAAGTATAAAACGCATTTGCCATCCCGCTTCCGCCCGCAGCCCCCTCCCCTCGGCCCATCGGGGACCCTCTGGCCGCGTCGACCCATTGGATCCCATGCTCCGCCCTTCGCCAGCCCCTGTGCAGTGGTGTCTGTGTGCCTGCCTATATAGCGTCTATGTGTTCGATGGGGGCACCAACACAACGACGAATTCGCCCTCTCTCTTTTGCGCACTCTGTGTGGCGGCATCTCGCTCTCGCCCACGAACGCAACTTCTTCGGCTTTTACTTCGGGATATCAGTGTGTGGTGCTTATATACACACGAAGCTTTCTCACTCTCGCCCGTGTGCGTGTACACACGTGTGTGTGTGTGTATTAGTGGGGGTGGGGTGGGGGCGCCATTTAAATTACGTTCGCTGTGTGTTGCTTCTCATTTGTTGGCCGAGAATCCCAAAAGGCACGCACACAGAGGCAAAAAATCCAAAACCAGTTCGCCTAGTTGTCGCCCTCTCCTTCCGTCTCCTTCTCTCTCCCTCGCTGTCTCTCTCTCTTTCTCCGTTGGGCTCTTTGGCACTCGGCCTTTGGCTCTGCGGCTCTGATTTTAGTCACATTTTGGTGCTCGCGGCAATTGGACGTCCTTCGTCTCGCGCCTCGCGCTTTGGGAAAAAAAAACACTAACAACCCATTCATCAGAATACAGATATAATGATCCTTTGGTGCAGCAAGGGCCCAAACTGAAAGTGCTTGGTGTTTGTCAAGAAAGTGCAGCTAAAGTGCCTCCTTAACCGAATTTAGTTCAAATCACATTAAATAAATTAACTAGAAGTTAAATAAGACAATACCATGCCATGATATGATGGCCCTAAAGATGTTGTATCGTGGTCCCAGTTCGCGTTTGGAGAATTTAATTGAAAAGATCCAGGCCACCAAGGAGATCAGCAACAACGGTAAATTCCAAGGATTTTCGAAAAGAATTTGGGCATATTCCAAAAAAATGTTTAGTTGTCGATGGATTATTTTGTATACCAACCTTTGGGATCCTTTGAAACCCAACAGGGTAAATGTCACAGCTTATAAAATTATTTTTAGTCAATGTGCATGTGCCGACGGAAAATCAATTCATATGATGTCAGTAAAAATTAACAGGTTTCAAAGCTTTATCTTAGTTTGCCTACCCCTAATCATAAACCCTACTCATGCCACAAAATATTTAAAAGGAAAGTTTGACTTTTATTATAAACTTCTTAAACGAAATGTATACTTTTCGAAATGGTCTTCATGTCAACTCTTGCCATAAATCCTAGAACAGCTTCATCAATCTTGCCCAATCAGTTCAAACTCTTTGACACTTGACTTCCTTACCCCCTTAACTTGACCATCAGCAACATTTCAATCAAATCCGAATGGGTTCAAATCTCTTACAACTTTCTTTAACCCCAAAGATCAAGACGAATGAGCGAATCAAGTGGCTGATGCATCAGCTTGATGTTTCCCAATTAGAGTGGAACTTAGACCAGATCACAGTGCAACCGATCGGGGGTAAAACACGGCCTGACAACCACGCTCCCTCGACCCAGAGCATTATCCAAACAGATACAGATACAGATGCAGTAGCGAAGATCATGCGCAATTGGGCTTAATTAAAAGTTGTCGAAAACGGAAAGTGAACATCGGCACTTGGCGCGTGGTGATCCGAATCCGGGGGGAATCAAGTGACCCTCATGGATGCTGGGGCCTGTAATTAAAACCGCAGCAAGAACAAAGCGCAATTAGTTTGCATGAGACTCGCTTACAGCTCATACCCCGACCACTGGAATGGGGTGTCGCCTGGTCAACACCAAATGTTGCCCGGCTAATTGAATTAATTCCGTGTCCAGCATTTGATAGCCGACGTTGATTTCCTGTCCCGGCCCCCAAAGCGCCGCTAAACAGGATGCAGCCCCAGCCGCCCACTCGATAAGACGGAATCTACTCTCATTAAACAACAGCTTCCCATGGTAGAAAGACCATTATTAGATACATTGTGTGCCCAGTTGACTCTCTTCGTGAAATAACCAACCATAGATATTCGTTCGGTATTACAAATTGCAGTTTAATTGAACTTTTTCGATCCTGGAATTTCCTTGGCATCCTGTCCCATTTCCGATACTAATCGATCTCCTCTTGTGTCCTTCCAGATATGTACAGTACCCACACATCGTCCAGTTATTCGCCTAGCATTTCGGACGGCACCATGACGCCCAATTCACACCACTTGCCCGGAGCTCCAATCGCCGCCGGTCAGGAGGATCATCCAACGGAGGGCAAGATCAATGGAGGTGCTGATGGCGAGGATCTGCCGAAGCCGAAACGTTTGCCACACTTCCATCACCACCACCACCATCATTACCACCATCAACAGGCGCTGAAAATAGCCAACAAGCTGCGCAAAATCAATAAGGAAGCCAAAATGGGAGCCACCGCAGGTGCGGGATCCACTGGAGGAGCATCCAAGTTTGATAAGTTGACAGGAGAGGGGATTAAAAGTCGCGGCGACGGCTCCTACCAGTGCCAGTTCTGCGAAAAGACATTTCCGCGTCTCGGCTACTTGAAGCATCACGTGCAGGTGAGTTACCAACAGGAGAGTGGGTTGAAAGTTCAGGGGAACTCCAGTCTAGAAGGGTGGGCTCCACGACAAGTGGGTGGCGGGAAAAGTTCCTAATTACCATCCTGACATCTTTTTAAGGCGATTATTCTGTTCTCGAGCAGGGTGTTTTCCCTTGATTGACATTCGCCCCCTTAGGTGACAGACTTCCAAATACTTAGGACACCTTTAGGCACTCTGGGCGTCAGGACTTTGATTGACAATCTGCGGCGGTTCCATTGATTTTCCCCGCGTGAATGGGAATTGAAATGCGATTTCAATTTGTTAATTGAAAACAAAAGTGGTATAGGTCCTGGCTGTAAAGGGTGGTTTCATTGCAAATTAAAATCTAGCAGGAAAGCAATGCTCGTCTCTCTTTTAGTAGAGACTACTTGGAAGCTAAATATAAAATACTTAAAAAAAAAGATGTAAAATAAGTTATGTTCTGCGAAACCGCACCTTCCAAATGAAACAAATTAGGATCAAGTGAATTATTTAAAAATGGCAGACCTGTATCATTTATCTAACACTCCTTCGGCAAATCTTTAAGACAACATCTAAGACAACCCGAAGCTTTGAGCCTTTGTGGACACCGCACTTCACCCACATGCCCCCTGATCCCCTCCAGCCGTAATTCTAATTCGGCTTAATGCTTTTTGAACTGCCAACACCGCCCATGACATCAGCAACTTGTTAACCCAATTGCAACTGCTGTTGAGGACTACCGAGCAGCGATCTTTATCATCCACCGGGGTCTAACATGTAGCGATCCGGCTTTGATCCTAGCGCCTGGATGGGCTGGTACGGTTCGGAATTCGGGCTTTGAGCTTATGGGACGTTGATGGCGATGGTGATTGGAGCGACAGTTTAAAAAACCATAACCAACACGAGAGCTTGTACGCTCTCTGTGGATCTGGATGCGACTAACCCGGCTAACTCATCATATATTGTGCAATTTTAAGGCTTTCCAAACTGGGGGGCTGCATACAAATGGGCTAATTTTTTTGTTGCCGCACTCAAAGTTCAAAGCCGACTGCCGCCAAAAGAACCCAAAAAGCAAACCGGTTGCGGGTGTAGTTTAAGAGCCAGGCACAGCCACAGCCACAGCCACAGCCCCAGCTCCAGCACCTGCCCCTTTTCCAGCCCAACCTGCGAAAAAAGTAAGCGGCGTCGCGCATTTAGATGAATTTTGTCCACAAGCCACGAGTCGCAAGTGAAACACCTACTCGTCTGGGCCTGAGTCCGAGTCCGAGACCGAGTCCGAGTCGAGTCAGTCGGTATGCAGATTCAGATTCAGATTGACGCATCTATAAATTCAAGCCAGGAGTCGTCCAAGTCGTCGTCGTAGTCGTCATCGTTGTCATCGCAACTTTTAACTGGGCTAGACGGACAGTTGACGCTGCCTTGTTGTCTGGGGCTCTTCTAAGAATTTCAAATAGCCCAGTGGGCATAAGGCATAAGGCTAATTGCCCAGATGATCTTCATGCTAATGGGGTTTTCCGAATTTGTGTGTTTTCATTACAGAGCCACGCCGAACACCTGCCCTTTAAATGCGAATACTGCTCCAAGCTCTTCAAGCACAAGCGTTCCCGAGATCGCCACAAGAAACTGCACACCAACGAGCGGAACTACAAGTGTCCGCATTGCGAGGCAGCCTTTTCCAGGAGGTAAGTGGTGGAGACTTGCGAAATATGTGAGCCATCAGCTAAGTCAGTAAATTTCCCATACTTAATCCCTCCTTAGTGACCACTTGAAGATCCACATGAAGACCCATGACATTCAGAAGCCCTTCCAGTGCAGCATGTGCAACAGGGGCTACAATACAGCTGCGGCACTAACCTCCCACATGCAGAAGCACAAGAAGAATGCTGCCATCCTGGCCGCCGGTGGCAATCCGAATGCCCTCAACTACAGTCCAAGGTCCACGGGATCTGCCTCGGCATCGGTGTCCAGCAATGGTAGTCTGCAGAAGAGGAGGTATGCCTTGGCTCTGGCATCAGACAGCAGTCCCAGTAGACTGGACTTCCCCAAGAGGTCGCGGAGTAATCATGTGGGAGGCACTACCACCACCGCCACACCCACTCCTCTGCTCAGATGCAGCTACTGCCCCAAGGTCACGGAGTTCAGCAGCCTGGAGCAACTCAATGCCCATCTGCAGAGTGTCCACGAACAACCGCAGCAGGCTGTGAAGACGCCGGTGCAGGAGGGCGAAGGCTTCCAGCTGAGCTGTGAGTACTGCACCATGAAGTTTGGCAATATCGCCGGACTTTTTCAGCACATGCGGGGCACTCACATGGACCGATTGAGTAGTCCAAACTCCTACTACGAGCACTTCAATCGCCTGGCCACCGCTGGCACTTTCAGTCCCCGCCTGGCCCTGGACTTGCCCAAAATTAAGCCGGACTTGGGCAGTCCGGAGCGGGAGTCGCGACCCGCAGAGGACGATCTGCCCACAGACTTGAGCAGCAACAAGCGGCGACCATTGACACCCAATCCCCAAGCCCAAGCCCAGGCTCCACTGGCTCCACCCACTGCCCCACCGGGCGTATTCTTCTGCAATCAGTGCAACGCTGGACTGCCGGACTTCGAGAGCTTTAGGAACCATCTGAAGAGTCACATTGCCGAGGGCATGCAGCTGGTTTGTCCGCACTGCGGACTGAGTTTGCCGGAGCAATCGGAGTTCGAGCGCCATGTGGTGGGACACTTTCTCATCACGGGCTCAGAGTTCAACTGCAGCTCGAGCTGCGGCAAGAGTTTCGCCAAATCGGAGGATCTGCAGCAACATTTGCTGTCGGAGCACGTCCTAACGCTGCTGAAGTGCTCGTTGTGCTCGGAGCTCTGTGAAAGCCGCATGGCCATGCAGCTGCATCTGGCCTGTGCCCACAGCCAGGAAACCAAGCTGCTCCGCTGCAGCGCCTGTCTGGAGCTCTTTCGCTCCGACGCCGAGTTCCATGTGCATGTGAAGACGCGTCACCAGTTGGGCGGCCATCCCACGTTGGGCGCCACTTCCAATGCACCCACTAATCCGCTGCAGTGCATGTTCTGCCGCGCAGTTTGCTCTTCCGAGCTGGAAATGCACTTCCACTTGGCCGCACATGCACGTCAGTTCAGATGTCCTTCCTGCCCGGAGACCTTCCACGTGGAGTTTCTGCTGGATCGCCACATGCAGAGTCAGCATGGTGGCGTCAAGGAGAAGGAGGCCAACTCGCCCAACATGGGCAGTCTGTATGTGAATGCCTTGCTGCCTCCTTTGGCGGCAGCGGCGGCGGCAGCAGCGGCCACAAACAACAACAGCAGCATCATCGACTACAATGTGGCATTTAAGGGTTTGTTCGGAGGAGCTGCCGGCGCAGCCGGATCAGGAGGCGGAGGCGGAGGAGGAGCACAAGCTGGTGGTGCACCGCCTTCGGCCAACAAATTCTACAGCCCCCTTCAGGTGGACACCAATGCACTGAAGGCCCAGACCTCGCCACATCCGGCTTTGATGTACGGCCTCAGTCAGCGGTATCTGATGGAGATGTATGCCGCCAAGTCCACATCGCCCTCGGGGAATGAGGGAGTTGTTAACTCGCAGCCACCGGCTCCTCAAGCAACCGCACCACCACCACCAAATGCCAGCACTGCCACTTTCAGTTGCGGAATGTGCGAGCGGCAGGACTTGCGCAGCGAGGCGGAACTGCACTCCCATCGCAAATTGGCCCACAATCTGAAGACGGGCGTCAGCTTGAGATGTGCCTACTGTGCCGGCAACTTTAAGTCTCGCGCCGAACTGGAGCAGCACATGAAGAGCTGTCACAATTCGACGGGCAAGCACAAGTGCTTGATATGCGATGAGGTGTTTCCCTCGCCAGCCATCCTGGCCGAGCACAAGCTGCAGCACTCCAAGGTGGGGCAGTCCGGAAAGTGCTCGCACTGCGGACAACCCCTGGAGGATGTGGCCGCCTTTAGGGCGCATCTATCGGAGCATGGAAGCGATGGTGGCTCCCTGCCACTAGCCTGCATTTGCTGCCGCCAGACGCTGCATTCGGAATTCGAGCTAAGTCTGCATGCCAAATTCCACACAAAGTCCGCCTCGAGTGGCGGCAGTCTGCAGGAGCCAGTGTGTGCTCTGTGCTTGGAGCCCCTACCAGACGCCACCGAGGGTCCGGCCAAACTCTGTGACAAGTGCTGTCGTAAGCATAATCTAAATGGAAAACGTGGCAAGCACTCAGAGCCTTCGGCATCTCTGCCAGCTCCGCCGTCGGCGTTCGTGGAGAACCGCTGCAATCTGTGCAAGATGATCCTGCCACATGCCCAGAAGCTGCAGGAACACCTGGTGGAGCACACCTTTGCCGGCACCGAGCAGCGTGGCTTCAACTGCTACATCTGCTCGGCCGTCTTCACCGCACCCGGCGGACTGCTCAACCACATGGGCGAACACGGAGCCCATTCTCGACCCTACGACTGTAGTCTGTGCCCGGAGAAATTCTACTTCCGAGCCGAGTTGGAGCACCACCAAAGGGGGCACGAGCTGAGACCACAGGCACGCCCGCCAGCATCGAAAGTGGAGATGCCCTCCATTCGGAACAGTTCACCCGGCCAGAGTCCGGTGAGAAGTCCCACCATTGTCAAACAAGAGCTATACGAAACGGATACAGTCGAGTCCGCCGCCGTGGAAGATGAACCGGGGAATCCTCCAGATGACGAGGAGTACATTGAAGTAGAACAAATGCCGCATGAGACACGTCCAAGTGAGATTGGGTCGCAATTGGAAAGGTCCACCAGCAGCGCCTGAAATATTATATTATTGATGGGACAAAAATCTCTTAAGATGTAAACAAGTAATTCAGCACAGTCTTAAGGATGGAAAGACTTTCTTAGTAGGCTGCCTAGTAAATGTATACTTTTTCCAAACTTGCTTTTCCCAGAAATTTGTCCCAGAAACTTCGAAGTTTTAGCGTATTTATTTTTATACAAATTTTGGGCATCTCCAAAACATGTGTTTCGGCCCCTTAAACCAATAGGTCTTGCCACTTATAGCGTTGTAACGTAAAGCAATTAAAACAGTTTAGCATTAATCATATACATACGATAATTACATACACGATAAACCCAACTTTGCATACTCCATAAGTTAAGTAACCGTCAAAGCATAATCAATATTACACATACGCCTAGTGTACTCGTAGAAACTCTTGACAAAAAGAAAGCATTTGTGTGTGATAGTTTTTCAAAGATTCGACTCCGCTGTTTATCCTCAATTATGATTTACCTACTTTAGATATGTACGTTATAGGGCATTGCCTTTGATTCAGTATTTATATTGTATTACACGATTCAACAATAACTAACCATGTAACTATAAATGATTATACAACTACATATGAGTGTACGTCTTACATAAGCACCAAAACATTTTTAATGTGTAGCGTATAAAAAGCGAAAAACAAAAGGAAGACAACTGAAAAATATTTAGTAAATAAAACAAACACAAGTTGAAGCCAAAGTGCGAGTTCTTTTATGTCTTTACTTAGAAGTTTTGAACTGATTGGTGGAACGGAGGGGGCAGAATCTGATAAGAAGTGTGTCTTTTATTCTCCGTTTTTATGGAAGCTGACAGACATGCGCGACCAGAGGCGAGGTCTCCACCTCGAGGGCTCCTCCAAGTCCAAATTTTATGGCGAATATTTCGTTTCTGGTTTATTTCGGCAAGCGCGACACGTAACGGCCATAAAAAAGGTGCGCAACAGGGTAACCCGTAACCCGTAGCCCGTATCCCCTTGTGTTGTGCCACACAAAAGCGACAAATTGGCATCTCGGTTGGGTGATCTCTATCTGCAAGACCGGTGGCAATTACCCGGCCCGCCAACATATGACGCTTCTGTTTCCCGGAACGCTCCGAAACCGGTTGGGGATCGTAGGTCTAATCTTGCAGCACCTCCTGCTTCTGGGAAGCAATTGCAAATAAATCGCATTTAATAAATTGCATCGGACAAAGAGGCACCGACCTATGTATGCCAGTGTACACGAGTATGTACGAGTATCTCTGCACCTGCTGTCCCTGCACTGTGCCTCCCTGTCGGCAATCATCACAAATCAATAAAAATGTTTATCATCAGGCTAAACAATTGGCCCAAGCTCTTGAAGCGGCTCAAAAAGCACCGGCAGTTGTTAATTAGCGCCATGCCGCAAATGCCAAAACGTCCGAAGGAAAACAGCAACTACACAACACGATCGGCAAAAACTTGGCAATCGGAATTGCCGGCCACAATCGAAAGCCACGAGAGGAGACTTCATTGATCGTTTTGGCCGCACATGCACCACTCCACTACGAGCCACGTTTACCCATATCCATTCCGGCCAGACCGCCAGGCGCGTCATCCGCTGGATCCAATGCCAATCCCCCGAAGTTCCCCCCACATCTCGTGTTTTCCGCGAACTCCTCTGTCTTTCCACCGCTTAGCGTCACCAATATGTCCCAAGTGATGAGGTGAGGATGATGATGATGATGACGGTGGCAATGCCGATGGCTCCGCAAATCAAAACCTCCAACGTGCAGGGGCAACAACTCCGATCGCATCGATTCGCATCGCTTTATTTTTGGTATTCCTGGCATTTGACGGGTTTTTACACGCTCTCCTCACAGGGAGTCCACAGTGGTCACAGGACGAGGAGCCCTGGGGCGAAACTAGGAGGTTATGGGATTGAACTGGACTCGAAATACTGATAGCTAGATTGGCCATAGACATAAATTGTTGGAAGGGATTTTTGGGCAAAGCGTAGAGAAAAAGCTGTTACACTTTCGCATACATTTTATCAATAGTTAGCTATCAAAACAGCCGAAAGTAATACTCCTAGCCACTAATATGTATATCAATATCCGAAACCCACTATGCGACGATTGAAAGTCTGCTGATCGACTGGCAGTTTGGCAAACTGACTGAGTGGCTGGCCAGGCAACTGGGATGTCCACACTCATTTTGCCTTTAACGTAAATGTGCGCAAGTATTACCACCAACCACCAACTCTGTGGCAGAGTGTTGGCCAACTGGCTGGCATGTGAGGAAAGCATTTTTGGGACCGCTTCGCGTTACATTGACAAATGAAGAAGCTCCCATCAGTCAGCGAGATGGTGGAAAACATTGCCCCTCGGTCTGATGAAGATGCGCGCAAAACACCCAAAATCGTGTGGCAAATGGAGACAAATGATGATCAGGGCAATATCAGAAAGGAGGTAAAAAGCTGCGAAATGAACTCAGTACGACGGGTCCTTGGCAATGCCATCAGGGGTAAGGGAGGCCAGTGAAGTATTTTCGCATGCCCTATTAAACAAAAACAAAAGTGAAAAATTGTTTTCTTCTCGTTTTGGCACAACCCCTCGCCTCGGCAAATGTTTCCTCTTCCGGCCTAAAAAATCGGGGGGCTGCTTCAAGGAGTTTGAGCACACGGAATGTGTGCCAAACATGCAATATACACTCCAGTGAAGAGGGCTACACTTACATTATGTTCATTACCGGCTTATTAGCGTGATTTACCGATTGGGGGAGTGATGTGTATCCTGGGGGTGTAGAGGTAATGACAATGCGGATAAGGATGTGCTTGAATGATGAGATGTGGGCGGTACAATGGCTGGGAAAACGACTTTGAAAGCGCCATATCCCATATCCGTTTGTCAATAATACCGTGCGAATTTCTTGATGGATGTGCCGCAGGAAATTCACTTCACTTTCCAGTGCTTCCTTAGATACACGGCTTTCATTTCCCCCGCCCGCAAATTGTGATATGCAAATTTTGATTTGGGTTCGCTGGTTATTAACCATTAAGTCCATCGCCTAATGGAGGGTTTCATCTTCATTTGAAACTTGTCAATTGGCTGTCAACTTCCTGTCTGAAATTGTGAGCTGGGCCTAGCCGCTAATTAGCTGACCAGATCACAGAGATACAGATCTCACAGTATCCTCTTCGCCGGCGAGGCGCTAATTCAATTAATAATCCCTCGTTCCAGAGGGGAGTCACATACGAGTGTACTCGTAGTATAGTCAACACGCGCGATCCGTATCAGGCCGGCAATTTACACAAATTAAAACTAAACAGTTACCCTCCGTCCTGCACACTTAATTATGCAATTACTAGATAATTTTTCTTGTTCTCCGCTGCGTATTTGCTTTTATTAAACATTTGTTTTCTTCGGCGGCACGAGCTGGGGCACAAAACCGAACCGGAAACCGAAAACAGTTGCAGATACAGATACATAATCTCTCGGATACACATATGCGAGCAGCTCCCATTGGTCGAGTGTTCTCCGTACTTCTCTCTGAATGTGAGTGTGCCTATAGGTGTCTATATACCTCGTTTCGGATACACATGAGTAGGGAGTCGTTGGGGGCGTGGCACGGGTGGCACGGGTGGCACAGAATGTATCTGTCAGATACTTTGGTTGATTCTAACGCTCTGTGCTGCAGGTAGTATGTATTTTCTATAAATAAAGCAGCTCGTATAGGATTTGGTTTTTACTAAGCCAGGAGCTTTTAGTGTTAAATGTTACTCGGTAAATATTAAAATGTATTTAAATAACGGGTATAAAAATAGTTGTAAGTATCAGCCTATGATGTTTTAAAGTATCTAACCTTAACAAATAGCTCTACATAATTTTTAGAATGGTTTATTAATCCAGCCTGCTTTGGAAAATCCTTTATAAATTCCTAATATTCAATTTCCTTTCGTAATCCGATTTACCGCACCATAAAGACTACAATTGATTCCCTCATTGGGGAATGAACGTGCCGAAATCGGCGTTATGTAAATGGATATCGATACGCGATCATCGCAATCGCTGATTGATTGATTGCCATTCAGGGCAGGCAGCACCAAATATAAACAGCGATTGTGAAGTACAAAGGACTCTTTGGGTCAGGCATTTGCGGGCGGTTTGTTTTCTATGCGCAATTTATAAAGTTGCTGACACAATAATGGGAGCCAGGACGCGCCAAGACGCGCCAGGACACGCCAGGATCACCACACCGCATGGCACCTCCGCCTTAAATTCTCGCGAATTAATTTAAAAAGGAGCTGGAATTGTGGTCCCGCTGCTGCAGCGCATTCGAAAAGTATTGTGTTACCAGGAGCTGCCGGGAGCTGGCAGCCAGGATCGGCACAGGAATTGGGTTCGGCATCGAGATCGGGACCAATGGCAGCGGGATCCGGCGAGCGTCCCAAGTTTGCTCGCCTTGATAAGACATAAAAGGTCCTCCAGGACAAAGGACCTCCTCGGGCCCGGCAATTGCCCAGCCATTTCCTCGAGCGTGTTTATGCTTTGCGCCTTCTTATCCCTCGATTTCTTATCACGGCAAAGAGATCAAATTTCGAGAGGGAGCAAATCGAGGATAACAAGAGGGAGAGAATGGATGCCGCTGGGAAAGGATGTGGCGAAGGATGAATCCCAGTTCGCCAGGCTCCTTACAAAAGCTTCAGGAGGCGGGCAGAAGTCATTCAGAATATGCAGTAATTACTTTACAAACCACAGACACAAGTCTTAAAAACTCTAAAGAATTTATTGGACAGTTCCGATGTCTAACAGTAGTTATTGTTATCACTTTTTATATTGGGTAAGTTTACTTATAGGTGCAAGAATAAGGAAGAAGGAGTTTAAGAGGCCTTTAAAAGTTCCCAAAAGATATATTCTGAAAAAGAAAAGCGTCTCCCACAAAATTTCCGACAAATCCATAAGAAAATAAGAAATCTTACAAATTGCCATAAACGGTACAAAGTCAACGTTCTCTATATAGATGGTATTACACAATCAGATGCTGTTGCTGTGACCCTTGGTAGCGCCTGAATAAAATCGTTTACCCAGAACCCGACAGATAGTGAGACCTTAATTAAATGTTCGTTGTCTGAACAGGAATTTTGGTTCGTTTCGGTTTCTGTGTTAAGTTGTTCTAAGTACGCTGCTTTTATGACCCACACAGAAGTACATATGGCCAAGTGCCAGGGCTCCAAGATGATAATGATGATGGTGGTGGACAGCAACGGACAAGTTTCACAATTTGCTCGCGGGTTTATCATGTCCAGAGCGCGTTTTGACCTCTTGGCGAGTACGTGCCTGGCCTCAGAGTGTGACAAACTTGTTTCATTTTTTTGCTGGGTAACAGAGTAGTGGCCTGTAGTTGTTGCTTTTATGACTTAATGCCGCGTACGCAGCGCAATTTCAATTACATGGTGAACCCAACAGGCCGCAAAACGGTTTACATGCCTACATTGGGCCAACGCAATATAGATATAGACCAGCTCCCCGGCAGTCCAAGCACTTTCATTTCGAGATGGACGGAGAGGGAGCTGGGAGCGGGAGCGGGAGCGTGTTGTAAGACCTTCGACCGCGGCCAGGTGCCAAATTTGACAGGCGAACGCCTCGACTCGCGCATAATTTATGCCCATCAAGAAACCCCAAGAACTGGAAAGGAGTGGCTTTAAGTTGACCCGGCCTCCGGAGCTGAAGAAGTAGTCAG